ATCATTTTATTAACTGAAATATTTTCATAATTGTCTACTAAATGAATGTAGTATGTTTAATGTTTCTCAGAAATAGTCATGATATACATTAACATCAAATGTGTTTATTGTGAAATGGGTGGTCTCCAATACTGGTCTTGGATTTTTTTAAAGGTTACACTAAATCACGTGTCTTTGAAAAATTTGATACTCCTGGGAATGGATCCATTGAAAAAGTCATTCAGTTCAGTTGAGGGAATGCTGCTCCTTGAGGGTTTCAGGATATTCTGATTTTTGTTCCAAATCATTGTATTAGAGGTTAGGAGCCTGATAGGATCATCAATATCCCAGGTGTGTTGCTCTTCTTTAACTATTAGAAGAAAAATGCCTACAATACATATCAAAAATGTTATACAATTTCTAGCACAAAAAGTTCATATAACTGCTGTTTTAAAATAAACTCTTTAATAATTACATTACATAAGAAACAGAAGTGAAATACTTTAAAACTGACATTCTAAAACAGCTTTTGAATGCAGTAAAGCTTGAATATAAGATGTCATGGAAAGTTCTGAACTGCAGCACACGTCACATATTTACATGGAGGGTAGTGGTAAACATCCAATATTTCCTCAAAAAGATCAAATTAAATATAGAAATACAACAATACAACTGTTAAAATCTACGTTACAAAAAAAAACGTATCCAAAGCATTTTACCAAGGATTGGGGAAATTCAAATATCCTGATATTGTAGGTATTTTATATTTTCTCATTCCAAAAAAAGCCCTGATATTACAACTGAGGTATTACAATCTTTTTATCAATGAACAACACATCATGCATTTTATTTGCCTGCTTTTACAACTGTAGCTTTTTAAATGCTACAGTAAAAATAACAGCTGTTACAGTACATCGATAAAATTAATTATCTCTGCTGTATTGATGTTCCTAGGCAAGGTTACTATTACCTTCTCTAAACAAACGTGCTACTGAAGAAATTCAACTGCTGTGGTATAATGAAAAAACATCAAATGAAAGATAACTGAAGTGCAAGAATAATACCAGTTATAATAACAAAATTGTCTAAGGGCACGAGTCTCGTTTAACAACAGTTCAGTTACTTTAGCTGGAAAATTGGTATTTGTGCAAAAGCATGAATTTAAAGATCCCAAATAGCCGTAATCTTCGTTAAATTAATTCTGATTTTGAGTAATTCTGATTGCCCAAGAGGCAAGGCAATCAATAATTTACTCAAAAGGCCTCTGATGCTGTCTTGTGTTATTATAACAATGTTATTAATGTAGCTTAGTTTGAGTCATTAAGCAATTGTTTTGCATTTAACAATTCACATTGATCAGAATCTTGAAAATCTTTACAACTAAGTAAACATACAAATATATGAGCAACTAATATGAAGTAGCTAATTAATCACATTTCTCAGACAAATTAATTGATTTTGATTAACATTTGCTTCTCCGGAGCCTACACAACTACAAAAGTTCCTTTTTATACGTGAAAATTTCGATCTATCATGATTACCACAGAGTTGCGTTTCTGCCCAGAGAAGGAAAAGCACTGTGTGAGAAAATTAGAACAATGTGAAGCACTACAGAAAGTGGGGAGCAAAAGGCAGGAAGTTGCCCCCACTTCACCTCCCAGAAGGCTGTAGGAAAGGCCTGCAACATTTCATCACTTAATCTGTCTGACAAAGGCAAAACCTTCCTCTCTCTCCTTTCCATAGGTTGCACAAATAAAGTTCTGCTCAGAATATTGGAGCCCTAAGAAAAAACTTTGCAGAATCCTCCTCTATTTCTGCAATGCCACAGCTGTAAAATGTCTTTCTGCACAGGAGTACAGGTATATGTGTAACAGGGGCTGAGGTTAATCATGTCTGAATTAAGTAGAAGAGCTTTCAAATGCTCAGCATGTGTCACAAGTAAACTCTCAACTGCA